CTTAAAGTGGCTCTTTATTGAGTCCGGTGCCTTTTTCACCGTGTCTAGAGTGACAGTGAGATCGAGGCGTTGGTGATGATGAGAGGATGATTCTGTTCTTCGTTTGTCTGGTGAAGCGGTTGTATTGTAATTAGAGGAGTAGATAATGGGAGAAATTGGAAGAGCAGAAAGTTTATCTGATTTATTTATTTCAGTCTGATTTATTTATTTTTTATTAATGTTTTGGATGAAATCAAGCATGTGTTTTTGTTTGAGAATAGATATTTTAATTAATTAAATTATAATTTTTTAAAATATTATAATTTTATTGATTAAAGATTAAAGATGTACTGTTCACTATTATTATTAATATGAATTTAAAAAGAGGGGGGCCATGGTATTTTTTTTATTTTCTTCCCTTTAGTATTAGTAAGAAATAAAGGAATTGAAATTAAAAAACAAAGAAAGGACTTTTTTTTCTCAACCTCCTTTGCCAGGTGTTTTTTCCCTTATAGGCAATGGTTAATATCACATTTTTTTGCTTAATTAATTATTACTTTATTTTTTATGCTACACTTTTTTTTATAGTTTTATATTTTTATTTTTTAATAAATTAAAGTGTAGAATAATTAATTAAAATACAAATCTATAAAATTAATAATTATGGGTGTGAAAAAGGCAATAACACTGCCCTAGTGATGCAGTTGTGAGAAAACAAAATATGACATAAGGTAGAGCTATTTAGATGTTTGAATTAGCTATTCAGATGATATTTTTGACAAATAATGTTTAATAATGACTAACCATGCATATTGTTAAGTGTATGTACAATGAAAAATAATAAAAAAATTTATTTTATTGTGATACTATTATAATTAATATTATTTTATATAAATTTATATTTTTATATATTTAATTTTTAAGTAGAATGTTTAATAAAACACTTCCCTTCAAATGCATAAAACTTTTTTAAAATTTACACTAATATTATTTTATTCAACTCATATTTTATAAATTAAAATAAAAAATTTTTGAATTGAAATTTAAAAGGAAAAAAAAAAAAAAGGAAATCGTCCTTTGATCCAACTGCTCAAAACCGTTGGATTAAGAGATTGTTGCAGCAAATTGCAACTTAAAGGGGAATTTTTTTTTATTATGATAACAAAAATATTATAGTTGCAATATCATATGATATTATAAACATATAATATGACATATTATTATATAATTAATTTTTTTATTTAAAAATTCACTCATAATATTGTATATATTTATTTATTTAATATTATATTATATTTCATTAAATGTTATGTAAAAATGCCATGTAAGATTATAAAGATTGCAAGCTTATGTAAATATAATATTACCATCATAAAAAAGAGTAAATTGAGCTGTCTCTGTTAAGGAAACAAAACTTGAATTTTGAAAATGCGCTAATAGATAAATTGTTAAAGTTTTGTTTTTTGTTTTTTTTTTTTTTTCTACATAAACAATGAAATGAGTAGCATTATAAGCAGAAAATAAATCTTAATAAAGATGAATGATTAAAATTTTATATAAATAATATGTATAAGAGTTATAGTAAACAAATCTTAACTTTATATATTTATTTGAAAAAAATATTATAAAATTATATTATTTTAATACATTTTTATTAAAAGTAAGTAAAATAACATTTTAAAGCAAGATTAAAATTATTAGGATTTTTTAATGATACTTTAATAAACAGTGTAATTTTAAAATATTTTTTCCTAAGTTTTTAAATATTCGCCTAATTAACACTTATGTCTAGGATTCCTTTACATTTCCGCCTGCATGACAGACTTTGTTGTTTCGCTAATGAAAGGAGTAATATCGATATTCTTGCCTTCGTTAAAAAAAAATGGATTATCACTAAGTCATTGATTATTTAACATTATTGTTGAAATCTAAAAATAAGAAAATTGAGGCCTAGCCAATCCCTCAACATTTCCTTCTTCTTCTTTTCTCTTAATTTATTTTCCTCATTTTATTTAATATTTTGACCTCAAAAGGCATTGGAAGAGGCACTAATAGTTTGTTTGTAATTTTTTGCTTGGTTTGGGGGAAATTTAATCTTTAAAGTAATTGAGTCAATGTGTTTCTAACATGTTTCTTCCTATGTAAATTAGCTTTTTTTACCCTTTAACTTTCCCTAAACATTTTTTGTGGTTTTTTTTACATTGAAGGGCAAAATGATCAGTTTACTTTAAGTGGCATTAAAATGTAGATCTATCTATGCCAATGACTTTTGATAGTTATTTTGGTTAGACTTTTATTTATAGTTTTGTTCTACTTTAATAGATCGTTTTGGCTTTGTGTTGCTTGCGATTTCTAACAATTTTTCATTTCATGCTTCTTTAATCTTTTCCCAAATATCAATCATAGATTTTAAAAGTCATTCATGAGAGTGAATATTCAAAATCAAAATCTTCATATATGGTTTAGTTTGGATGTTGAGGTCAACCTTTTTCTTCTCATGCTTATGGGAGATCTCAATTAGTTAAAAAAAAAAAAGACTCTTAAAATTAATAAAAATGAGTAGGGTACGATTCATATCCTCATTTCTCTCTTTAGTTGATTTTCTCTCTATATCTTTTTAAAATCTTATAAAATAATATTTATTTGTGAGAAAATTATAATTTTTTTAAATTTAAATGCTCAATTATAAAATCTTACTTTTTAATGCTTCTGCCAATATATATATATATAGTTATGAAACAACAACTTAATTTTGATGTTCCCAACTTCCCATGTCTGCTCACATTTCCTTCAGGTTTCTAACTCCCCTACTTGCTACCTCCTTTCTCTCCTTTTCACTCTCTTCTTTTTTCGAGGAGGGAGGGCATGAGAGGGCATGGAGGTGTTGTTGGGGATGAATGGTGATGGTTGTGCGGTGGTTGGCTATTGATTTAGGGCCAGATAGTTGAGGGAGAAGTATGGTTAAAGGTGGTGAACAATGGGAGTTCTTTGTTAACTTTAATCTTTATCTCAATTGCAAAAAAAGTGTAAATTTAATGTTGCGTTATCGCTTAAAAATATTTGAGTAGAATTATGTAGTTTTGAGTTTATAAGTTTTATTTTCTTTGATAATATGGGTTAATAAAAGTTGTTGCTTTCAATGATTTGATTTTAGTGATTTCATAATATTATTATTACATAATGTAATTAATTAATTTTATATTAGATAAAAATGTAATCTATTCTTAATATGAACTATGAGAATCAAAAAATTTATTACTTTTTTGAAAAAATACTATTTAACTTATGATTTATAAATTATAAATAGAAAGTAAAGATTTCAACCACGTTGACTTATTTTTATATATCACAACAACTTACACCAATAATAAATGAAAAAAAAAAAGACCTTAAAAAGTAAGATTTAATTTTTTGATCAAATTATTATTTTCTATGCATTCCAAATTAGGTTGACTAAAACAACTTGATCCATAAATTTATAAGAATTTAAACCAAACTAGAGTTAAAAGACCCAATTCTAAATGGGAAGAGGTTTGATTAATTTTGAGATATTTATAGAAATTTTTTACATATTTTATTTTTACTAACTAAAAATATTATTTTTTTAACTAATTAAAATTCTAACCTTTCAATTACTACGTTGTCAATTCTACCATTTAATAATTAATTAGATATCAAGTTAACAAATGAATTCCATATGTGAGATCTACTTAAATTGCAAGTGTTTAAAAAAAAAAAAAAAAGTGACTACTAAGTTAAGTTGGACAATGTTGCGGAAATCTTCACATCACAGTATAAGTGTCAACGCTTTGTATCAAGTTAACAAATGAATTGCATTCCCCTTATGTGTCTGCAGTGATAGTCACGCTTATCTAAAGTAAGAAGCAAGTGGAACGCACTTCGGTCTATAGGTTCAGTTTTAAATTTGATTTTTCTTTAACAGATATTAATCTAACACTATATTTATTTCTATATAAAAAAAAAAGTTAACAAATGAATTCAGTAGGTGAGATCTATTTAAATTGCAAGTGTTGAAAGGAAAAAAAGAGGTGGCTACTAACTTAGATAAGTTGGACAATGTTGCATAAGTCTCCACATCACAATATAGGAGGAGTCGACACTTTGTAACAAAATGGACGATTCACACTATCACATACAGTGTCGACACCGACAAAAGTGATCTCAGCACCCAACCCGTATTCCGTATAGGGAGTTTTGGGATCTTTCGTAAAATTTTTAATGGTAAAAGAGCACATCTGTGTCTTCTTTTTCTACTTTATGAACACTTTGGTACCTGAAATTCAGATTCATTAATTAGGTCCATGACTTCAACCTTTCTTCATGCAATTTAGTCTCTCAATTTTCAAAAAATTTTCACTTAAGTTCAAAACCTTTTTTTTTTTTTTTACATTCAACGTTCATTTTAACAAATAATAAAAATTATATAAAATTCATCAAAAATCATAAATTAAGGTAGAAAATTTATAAACTAATTAAACTCAACAAAATATAGCATATAAACTTGGTAAAACAAGTATACTGTTTAAATATTTTATATAAATTGTTCCAAATAAAAATATGTAACTTAAAATAAAAATTTCAAACTCTAAATTATGTTGCTTACAACTATATAAATTAAACTTTCTTTAATAATTAATAATATAAAAACCCACTCACCCCGCAAAATGGATTGGGTCGAGCTAGATGGGGTAACTATTTAGGCAAAAGCACATTAAGGGATAATTAATGCATTTTTCACAGTAATTTGTATTAAAAAATTTAAAATTAATCTTTATTAATATTATTTAAGCATTTAAGCTCGCATCTTTCTAAATTCTCCTTTCAAAAAAATTTTTTTTTTGAACAAGTGCAATTTTTGAGAGAAAGGGGAAAGAATTAAACCCAGCTTGTAAGGCCAGGTGCTCCTTTCATGTTGATACAGACCATTTGGCCCAAAAAAGGGGTAGATATAGACCACTGTTCAGATTAAACTAGTCACACATTGTGTGATCCTAATTCCAAATAATGCAGATTCTTTTTTTTTTTTAAAAGAAAAATTCCCATCATTTTACATTTGTACATATGTTTTCATGAAAAATTGTTGCTTGCAAATTGCAGCAAGTTAACACGAAATCAATAACCTACAACAAAATTTGGGTGCAATGACAAATTTTACATCTTATGCACAAACCTTAGTTTGGGCAGGATCGATTTCTTGTACCCTTCAATCTTTACTCCCAAGTGCTGGAACAAAGTCTGATCCGAGACATCAATAACCATTTACAGTAAGCTTTGATACCATATAAGCAGCAGGAAATGGTTGCAACAATGAATGTTGGAAACACTGTTCAAGACATGGGTTTTCCTGATGTGATCTCAGGCATGACTGGAGTTGATTGCCTGGCATGAGGAGGCTTGGGGTAAATTATCTGTCACTCTTTCGTATAGGAGAGCACATAGTCTTTAATCATCTGCTTAAGATGCTGCAATGAAGCAGAATCATAACATGAGGATAACATAGCAGCACCAAGATGAAATTAAAATTCCAAGTTTGAGAGCTAGTACCTTTAGTTCTTGATGGAGTACAACAAATACTTTCTTTAGCCTCTTATGTCTCTGCAAATTGAGCCGTTACTCAGTGACAACCACAGGAAAAATTATGATCATACACATATTACTCAGGATTTAAGCACATAAGCATATCCAATCCTTGAAATAAGGCAGTGGAAGTCACTATATTATCAAATATTGATTGCAGAGGAAAGAAGAATATCAATATTCCTTGCATTAGCGAATTATAGAAAGACTAGGAAAATTAAAACATGACAAAACACCTGAGATTGTGTTCAAGGGCTATGAAACGCAACTATCTTTGTATTATGGCCTTAACTTACCAATTTTTTTAATTCTCCATTATCTTGTTCTTTTTTCTTTTCTTCTTTTTTTTTTTTTCACAGTCAATCAAGAAGAACTTCAGTCACTACCGTTCTAGTTAACAGTCTTATCCTTCATATTTTGCCACGTAATCCATATCAAGTCACAGAATAAAATTCTGTCATGAATGCAGCACTAACAACCAATTTGAAAACAATGTTAATAGGAAACCGAAATTAGATTTATCAGGGCAAGCGAATGATAATGTAAATATCCACTCTAGAACCAATTTGATTCATCACTTAAATCATTAAATACTAAGCCATCAATAAGAAAAACTGAATAAGGGTGTTATAATGAAATGAAACAGAATCATACCGATCCACATTGACGGTAAGACTCCCTCAACTCTGCCACGATTTTATTATATTTCTCCATGTTACCTTCGGAAAACTCCAGGTCCTTACCCAGCTTTTCGAATTCAATCCTAAGCAGGAGGTTATTCAACAACAGTAGATCATTTAAACAAGGCAAAAACAAATAAAAATGCATCAAGAACTCAAATATTAAATAAGGGATGTCTTGGAATACCTGTAGCTGTCTAAGATCTGGTTCAAGGAGCAGTAAGAATCATATTTGTCTCGGTACTCCTGCACATATTCTTTGTACCTAACATACAAGGGAAAACAATAACTTTTATATACCATAATTCTGTTTTGAACTCTATAACAGCCAATCTATCTATTAATCCATAGAAAGATGCAGTTACAAAGGTGGCAACTTACTGAGAAAAATCCCTAATTGGCTCTTTGTACTCTGGAGCATCCTTTTCATACTTCAAATAGGAATTATCTTCATCTGAAGAAGATCCCCTTTTCTTTTGGCCTGGGAAATTGCCCTCCAAATCTCTCTGTCCGTCAGTCAAGTCTGCCATACTAGATGTCCGTGTTTTATCTTTTAAGGAGTGGGAGATTGATCCTGGTTTAGATTCCTGTAGTTGGGGAGCACCTGGTGTTGCTTTCTTATGGCTTTCACCATAGCCTTCTAGACCAACTCCCGTTCTTGCTCCAGTTTCATTCTGTCTGGACTTACCACTGGAATCAGCTGATCTGTTAAACTGGGGCCCAATTTCAGCATGATCTACTCTTGAAAGGTGTTGTGGCTGAGATTGAGTGCCCCTGTGATGGGATCTCGTGGAAACTTCACCATGGTGTTCTGGGGTCCTCTTAACCCCAACACTTGAATTTGGTGGAGATTGCTTTCCTGAATCCCAAGTTATCTTCCCAACAGGCTTTCCCTTGCGCAAATCTGAGTTACAGTTCTCTGACATGCTTGGTTTGCTCTCTGACAATTTAAAGGAACCTTTTCTGTCAAATTGCTTAACTGGAGTTTCCTCAGGTGGTTCACGAAGCTCACCCAACTCCAAGTCTGAAAGCTCTCTTTGAAGCATGTTATTTCTTCCATTAGCTGGATATCCATCAGCAGCCACCCTGTTGTTATCTTTTGGGGAAGATTCCATATATAAGCCTGAAAATTGTGCACCCTCCTTGAATTTTCCTACAACTTCACTATGTTTCCTGTGGTAGAAGTCAGAAGGCACTGAATGTTTGCCTCCAGCACCACCTTCCTTGGTATTTTTTGCTATCTTTTTGCCCTTCATATAAGTTTCCTCATGTTGACTCTCCCTAGAAGCCTTATCTTTATGGATTGGATAACCTTCATGTGCATTCTTCTCAGAGAATTTGCGTCCATAACTTGAGCTCTCAGTATGTTTATTAGGCCTTTCTAACACATCAGGAGCTTTTGTACGTGTGCTTTGATCAGAAAACCTACGGCTTGATTGCTGGAAATCTGAACTAGATTTTGCAGGATGTACCTGGTTGGACACCTTTGCGGAGCCAAAATTAGCATTTGCTTCTCTGTCATCAAGGGGTCTGTTAGGAGAAAACTTATGATGACTCCCAAAAAAATTGTCATCTTGTCTCCCAGAAATAGGTGGCTGAGACAAACTTTCAGCTTTTAATCTTTTAGCATGTTCAGACTTCTCATCAAACTGCTTAGCATCAGAGCTCCTTTTGGACTTAACTCTTGCTATCCTCTCAGAGCTGTCAGCTTGTTCATGCCGGAAGTTATCCTCAAACAGATTTCCAATAAAATTTTGATGCTCCTGAAGTTCATCATGATAAGATGAAGAGGGTTTTGATCCTTCCACAGGTTTCTTGCCTTCTTCATGCAAAGTAGAATTAGCAGCCATCCCAATTTCCTGTTCATCATCAAGCAAGTCATTCTCAATGTCAACAGCATCTGATCCATGACCTCCAATGTCAATTGGTTCTGATCCATGACCGTCAATGTCAATAGGTTCTGATCCATGACCTTCAATGTCAACTGAATCAAATCCATCTCCATCTTGATTTTCATCTGCACCATTCTGCAAGGGCCTGACTTCTGGTGTAGGTGACACTGAGACTCCTGCTTCAGTATGCTTTGGATCTTTTTCATCATCACTTGTCATTATATTCACATCCTCATCAGAGCCCTCTTTGCTGTTAGAAGAAGCATCACTTTCACTGTCACTACTACTACCACTTCCACTTCCTGCTGGGCTCCCGCTCCTACTCCTGCTCTTGCTGTGGCTTCCACTTTCACTCCCAGTATCACTGCTGTCACTGTCACTATCACTGTCACTTTCACTATCACTTCCACTACCTGCATGCCCCTCGCTATTGTCAGAAGCTTTTTTCTCGCCACCCATATCAGGTGAATAGTGTTGTATATCAATTTGTTCCAATTGTCCCTGTTCCTCCAATTCACCAAGAGAATCTTTATCCACAAAACTGGGCACAGGGGCAGGCAACCGATCATGGTTGTCATGTGGAGCAAGTATCTGGCGATGGTTGTCTTCAGGGGAACTGAAAGACAAGAAACTTTATTATTACATCATGTTGTCCAAGATGTGCTCATGTGCACATACCGAGACATGTTAAACAAGAATATAGAAAAGTTATGTTGTTTCACATTCATGGCTTTTGTCAATATAGAGAAACTCAATGAAGACTAAACCAAAAGGTGGAGATGTTAGGGGCTCTTTAGTCCTTAAACTCGAAGATAAATGCCTGTGCACAATCATGTTTTAGTCATTTCCAAGGATTGTTTAAACCAAGAAAAAAAATGTTCACTATAAATTAAAAGCAACAGTTAATCTAGGTAATTGAGATTAAGTGGCACTAAAATTATCTAAGAAGCCTAATAAAATTATAAGCAAGAGGGTAGAACAAAGCAGCACTGCATCAATAGCAGTGTCCACAGTAATTATAAAACCTTAACTATGAGCACCTAAAGCAAGCAGCATCAGTGTGCAAGAAAATACAGATTAGAGAAACTAGATATCTTCCTCAAATTATAATGACTAAACTGAAGAAGGATTTGAGATAATTATATAAAAGCCCTATTTTGAATTCCATAGTCTTCAGTAGCAGTTCAATCTCATGAAACAAATCATTCCATAGTCCCAGTGATGCAGGACAGGTTAGGGTTATGGTGGGCTTGGGAATTTAGCACTGTTTGAAGGTAAGCTTAGGCTATGAACAGCGCATGAACAGTGAAAAGAGATTAAGAATATAATTTAGAGAAGAGGGA